GGAACTATATAAGACTGATAAGAAATGGAAGCTAATTACAGTTCCACAATAAAATACAGAAGGGAAAGGGGGAAAAAACCAACCCAACCATATTCCTCCTTAAAGTAATTCCTACCACATGCTGCAGTTGCTTTCATAGCTAGGTTTTCAGGGCAAGAAAAGACCATTAAAATGTCAGTCCACAAAGCATACTTCATCTTATCTAGACTGCATGTCAGTTTGTTCATCTGTAGTGCCCTGGCTAAAGCAGGACCTGTGAAAGGCATTCAGAGCTGTAAAATCCGAACCACTGTACTGACGAGACACAACAGCCTATGCCCTCTTGCAATAAATGTAACCAAGGTCAGAACAGAGGTCTGAGAAAGACCATGAAAAAAACCACTCCCGGCATGGGGTGTCATTACTCTAGACAGTGCTCTTGTGATCTCCTAGAAAATATAAACAAATAAATAAAAACACTTAAGAGCAGTACCATCAGTCTCCACAAGTAAGTTCATGTCATTTTGTGATTAATGATACCAAGTACAGTTATAAATTTTGCAAAAATACTTCATTTCATTTGTTGCTACAACACAATCTTTATACTGCATCTGGCTGTAAAAGTAGATGAAGTGGGAAATATCGCAGGGTTGTTTCTCTACGACCTGTTCAATTTATTTTCACCAGATTCAGCTTAGAGGAATGGAGAGATTATGTCTGACCCTTTTTTCTTGAAATCACACTTCCACTGAAATACATCAGTGTCAACAATTTTCAAAGAAATTAACTGAATTTGTATTTTTAGAACCTAAACAGAAAGCCAAAGCCCAGGGACACACATCTGCTTCAGTTCTATGGCTTCCAGCCACCAATGTCACTGTCGATATTTTTCCTCCCCGTAAGCCTCTCATTTCAGCCCCATTGCCACATGCATGCGGACAGCTAGCTCACCAAAAATAAGTATTTGTGTCACATCAAAATAAGCACCTGCCACAGGCGAGCGGCCTGCCATTACTGCTTCCACCACTGTTTTGCAATCTCTCCCCCCACCGTCCTTACTCACTGACCTTTCTACAACCATCCTGGCCTCGTTTTGTATTTGTTGCAACAAATATCTCCTTCCTCCATCACAACGCTGTCCTGTGACTCCTTCAGTTTCTTCCACTCTGTTTTCCATCCTTACTTTATAAAAATGGGTACATTTCTAAACACAACAAATAAACTCCCATAGCATAAAAGGGTTTGCAACATATTGCACTCCCATTTTGATTCATCTGCTCCCCACCTTGGGCTACAAGCACTGCAGACAACCATACCTCCTCAAGACAAAGGCACAGCACTAAAGAGACAGCTTTTACTAAAGAGACAGTTAAACCCTCAGCATGTACAATCCTCCTGCATGCGCTTCTAAGTGCTGCTAGAAAGCAGTCAGGGTTTCATTTCAAAATTAATACTCTGTAGAAAAATGAAAATCAGACCCTTAGCCAAGCCATAAGGGGAACCAAAGGATCCCTCATTTTCTTTTCCGAAAGGCAAATTTGCAGTTTCATCCCCAAATCCTTAGAGCTGCAGAAACAAGAGCATCTGCCAGCTCACTGAACCACCTGAGTAACTTTTTCCAGCCTAACTTCAAACTGTAACAACTTGCTATATCAAACTGCCAAATCTACAGTGCTCATTTCTTTCTGTGAATCCAGCTGTCATTTTTCCCAAATGCCTTCGCAGTCCCAACTCTCCCAATGCCAAAAAAAACTTTTCACAGATATACATAATTTTGCAAAACACATATGCTCTATGTATGGCACATGAAGTCAATTAACAAGTTTACTTACTGAATTAAAGGATGACACAACAGTAAAACAAAAACCTCTTGCAGACAGCAAACACATTAACCTTCTCCTCCCTATGATGTGATACTCTCACAAGGAGCGCTAAGGAGTTCTAAAGTCTGAGTACATTTTTAGTATCCCAGAAGATCTTTTACACTTATCTCCATGGCATCTTTTATTCTGTAATTCCCATGGTGTTTCTGATCACCAGCACGCAGAGTTAAATGTAAAATGTGTTCAATTTGCAAGTCAGCAAGGATAAAACATGCGCTAGGGAAAACACATACCCTCATAAAAGAAAAAAAAAGAAAAAAAAAAAAAGACTGAGCCCAAAAAAAAAAAAACCACGTACCTTTTAACTGGTCGGCTACCACGCTCTGACCAACTCGCTCAATCACCTTTCCATCCTCCATTTCATAACGGTCATCCAAGTATTTCGCAGTAGCTTCCGAAATATGGACTTTTCCAGCCACCCCGAGCTGCTCCATCAGATTGGCCAAATTGACATCATTGGACCACACATCGAACTTGAATCTCCTCATTCCCAAAATGCCACACAGGACCGTCCCGGTATGAACACCGACTCTCATGTTCACCATTTCTTTTTTCTCTTGGCAAAACTGCTCGATGGCTTTAATCATACCTAAGCCCATCTCGATGCAGCAGTAAGCATGGTCTGCCCGGGGTTCTGGGCAGCCAGCTACACAGTAATAACAGTCTCCCAAAGTGCTTATCTTCTCGCATTTAGTGTCCTCGCACAGACGGTCGAAACGTCCAAAGAGGTCATTCAGGAGTCCCACCAGAGCGTGGGCAGATTTATTGGCACTCATTTTCGTGAAGCCAACAATATCTGCGAACAAAATGCTCACTTGCTCTATCTGCTGCATTTTAAAAGGACGGAATATTATGGGGGTTTTCTGTATGGAGGGCTTCTTCTTCCTGTTTTTGGGGCTTGAGGTGGAATGACGTTTGACAGAGTTTTCACTTTCATCATCCCCCTGCTTCATTAAGTCATCAGCTATTATTCTTGGCATAACAGAATGAATCATCCTCTCTTTCAGGGCTTTTTCCACTTCCAAGTCTTTTCCATGCATGATGGATTGCCCCACTTTCAGGAATGTGCTTCTCGACCTGACTTCGGACATGATAAATAAATGAATACCGATGGCGTGGATGCAGATGTGCAGGAAGGCTTTACTCAACAGCTCCCAGTAAACTGCACCAGCTCCGAGAGGCGTAAAACAGTTCTCATCGCGGAAGTGATAACCAAAGGTCTCGAAGAGGACCGAGTATGACAGTCCCAGAAACAAGCTTAAATACAAGGGTAAGTGCATCACCGTGTAAAGCAACAAGAGCACTTCAATACACATAGAAAAACTGCCTACTTGAGAAAGACAAGTCTCTGCGGGATCTGCTGGGGGAGTCCGATTGGACATGTCACCACTTCCTGAGCTAGGTTTCAGAGCCTGGAACTGCGGAGCGAGAGTCAAAGCAAAAACCAGGAGGGTGAGTATCAGCGAAGTCCATACGTAATGGCGGGCGTAAGTCTTAGTGAAAGTGAACACAAAAAACGCTACACATACCAAGAGGAAGCACAGAGCCGGCACCATGAAAACGATCTGTTTGTCTCTCATGTGTATGCCGAAGTAGATGCCCCAGAGAAGGCAGGCCACGCCAATGTAGAAGAGGGCATAGCGAAACCTGCGCTGGGTCTGCGGGAAGCACCTCTCCATGCAAGCCTCCTCCAGGTTGTTGGAGTCAAACTTGGGGTTCCACCACTTGGAAGAGGCCCTCTCGAAGAGCTGCGGCAGCTTCTTCTGCCGGCGGAGGCCGGGGCCGCTGCCACCACCTCCGCCGGCTCGGCGGGTGCCCCCCGACTCCCCCGAGCTGCAGCTGGAGGAGATGCTGTACTTGCAGTGCTTGGAAGAGGAGCAGCCCTGGTGCTGCTTGGGGTTGATTTTCACCGTCACGCTGTTGCTGTCCCCGCTGGAGTCGCAGCTCACCTCGGTGCTGTGGTGATGCAGCAGCTGCTGGTGCGGTGGGGAAGCCATGTTGTCAATTCCTCCTGAAGAGCCCGCTCAGGAGTTGGGTCTCTCGGGCTGGGAAAGCCACCGGGCTCCTCGGAGAGTCGCCTCTAGTCTCCTCCCGCCGCCGCCGCCGCCGCCGCCTGCGCGGAGGGGCGGCCGGGCAG